TTCTGAGGTAGGCACCAAATTGTGGCGGTTCGGGGATCGAGTTCAAGTGGTCCGTCCACCGTCGGGGACTCCATCCCCTCCCCAACATTCAGCATACAGTCCCAGCCGAAGCACCAAAAGGGCTGGTTTGCTTACGTCCTTTGCATATGGCACATATCATCAAACTTTTTGTCGCAAAGGATGCTGCTGTTATTGGAAGTTATATGGCAAATCATTCCTTAGATGTCCGTCCATAAGCAGAACCAGGCCCACCTTCGCTACGCTCACCTTCTCCAGAATATGACGTCATCTGTCACCGCAAGCTCGAGGGCCTACCTACCTCCATTCTGAAGCTGCTACAAAATTTCTCGAATCGGGTAGCTGGTGAATGGCTTCTTGAGGACACTACTAGCTCTGACTATGCAAAATGCTTCAGGGTTTCAGAGACGTCGTAATCGTCTATGGTTTCTCGACGCCTCCGTTGTGCTCGTTCCGCGATTCATTTTTCGGTGGCAAAATCTTCTGATGTTGTCGGTGTAGAAAGACCTCATTAATTTTTTTGATAGAATAGAATGTGCTCTTTAATATGCAACTGAGCTCATTCGGTTTGGTTTTGGCATAGTAGAATTAATTCTGTTTTGTATGTGAGTGAGGGACTCTTTTTTGCCTCCCCCCCCCCTGTACGAGTCAATGTTTTTATCCTATCAGACGAGGCTGCTGTTGTCCGATCTGGCAGGTTGGAGGCTTGGTTGGCTTGGACGACGACAATACAGGAACGATCGAGTCTAGCAACGAATCTGTCCTCAACAGAGCACATCCAAGAGCATCGACAAATGTGGATTTGTTCCAACGATGTCGTATTGAATATCATTGTGCTGATCCTCCTTCAAAGTTAGTAGGCTGTATTAAATACTGCGGTGTCCTAATTGGTAAAAATAGCAGTTCCACACAGCATAGCATTTCGCTATACTTTATCTATCGTTATGAATTGTCTATGTCTTCCATGACTCGGAGCGGCACCATTCGAATGCAAATGTGAAGGAGTTTTTGTGCCAAGCTTCGAGACTGGAATGGCTTGCCTAAGACATCCCGACAAAGCAGTCGACAGCTCTAGGGGAGGTTTCGAAGCCGCGATTTTTCAAAACGGTTTTTCACATATTGCAGAGACCCATGTAAAGAATCAAAAACCATGGCTCATTTCCTCAGAACGGTTTCGGCAGTACCAAAAAGATGTGCAAGGCATTGCCAATGGTTCGATCCCCCTTGACAACTGGATTTTGCATTTGGTTTTTCGCCTACAGGTTGGTGCCGAATGGTGCTAATTGTCAAGACCAGATGCCATATCCAAAGTTAAAACCACATTGAAGCCAAATGTAGTCGCTAACCTTGAATGCAAAATTTAGTCGCCCCGGAGAATCGAACCATCGAAAGTAACATTCACTACTTTTTGGTACTATTAAACCGTTCAGCGAAAATGAAACATGGTTTTGTGGCCATACATGCGTACCTACAATATGCAGGGTACCATTCGAGAAAGTGTAGCTTGTACTAAAAAACCCTCCTTGCAAAGGTAACAGAGAAACCCATCTATGACACTTTGCTCTCTTTAACAAACATACCTTCCGCTCTCTAATTCAAAGTCCGGCATGGCGTCAGGTGAAGTATCATTAACTCGTCATGGCAAGATGACACCGGACTACTTGGGAAAACTAAAGGTAACTGTCGCCACAATTTTGCTCGACGACTCCTCAGGAACAAGAAACAGGAACGGAGGGCTCCATGGCGTTGAGTAACAAAATCAACTGAAAATCTTTGAAGTTATGGTACAAGGCAAGCTTCTGCACGGCACCTCCGAAGTGCATCCCGCAAGTCACTGAAATGGTCATCAGCAGCATAGTTGGAAGCCTTCTTCATCCTTCACTCATGAGACGGAGCAGACAACTGTCTGTTTTTCTGTCATCAGTCGTGATGGCCGGCATCGACGACGTGTTGCATAGGAGGATAATTCGTGAGTCACTTCCAAGTATGCAAACTGTTTGCGGGGGGGGGGTATAAATGAGCTATCGATTCTTGGGCATCAATCATTGGTATAAGGGGGAATACCTCATGAACTCATTACAAAACGTTGTGAGAAAACGATACACTTTTGACGGGAACGAGAGACCGCCAAACACATCTCACAAGCTAGCTAATATTATATTTTATAACAGAACACAGCTCATTTTTTTTCAAACCGAAGGGCTTCTTTCAAGGAAGCCTTTTCGTCTCCAGGCTCGGAGAAGCATGTTAAGGCGAGATAGCCGAGCGGTTTGGAATAGATTGCAACAATGATACCGGTACCAGCGCCGTCCTTCCTACACCTACTGTTACATGAATTCTCATTTCATGTGCGAGCACCAGCAACAAACCAATCGTTTGTGCCTTTCGCGACCACCATCCATGGTTGCTCTGAAAGCTGAAGACAGCGAGCTGAGGAATCGTTGAGCTGCAATCACGCTTCTTACGCTGTCAGACGCATCCCCATCTCGCACCGCGACTGCAAAAATAACACGGGAGCCCACTCCACCGATCTTCTTGCTCGTAACCTCCTCTCACGGCATAACCGCGCTATGGTAACGTGGCTTTTCTCATGTCTGCTCAGGATCACGAAGAGCTCATTCACTGGGAAGGTCAGTGCTGCAGTGTCCGGCACAATATTGAGTGAACAGGTTAAGCGTCGAAAGACTTCGCTCGAGCAGATTCTGAGTGACAGTTGAGGCTTTGAAGTGGATGCACTGCTAATCCATGTGTCAGCAGCGTAGTAGGGCGCAGGCAGAGCTGTGGAACTACATAAATTGGCATGAGGTTCTGGACCAGCCAAATAGTTGGTAACTCCTCCCAGAAAATCGAAGGCCGCCCATTGCTCCCTGTGGTAATCATCGACTTTCATTACGGGTGGACTCAAAACTGAGAACTTGTAGCGATCTTGCAAGAGCGATTCGACCTCATGTCGAATAATGCCTAACGGACGATATTCATATTAAGACAACGAGAAAAGCGCCTACCCCGTCTTTCTCGACTTGAGAACACTTTCGGAGTCTATCCTTATCTGGTCCAGAAGGGGTTCAAAGATTGTAACAGTCCGAAGCAGCTGAACTCTCTAGCGAACTATGTACATATATGATGGTGTTAAAGCAGCTCACTGCACTACACCAGCGCGGATAAACCAGGGAGATAAATACACGGTGCGAGGCACTTTGGGAACTGCTCCGAATAATGCGTGAAAGGACTTGTAGAGCAAACTGTTCTCTCATGCTCGCGAAGTCGCCCTGATAGCGCAAGGCAGAAAATTTGTATTTCTCAGGTAACTAAAAAAGGCTACAAAATCTACTTCTGAATGTGAAGAAAGGCAATCTGCTGAGCTCCGAATATGATAAATACTCAATCGCTGACCGTCACGGGGAAATTCCTAAAGGGTATAGAAACTTCAAGCTTGAGCAACCAATCCGCTGGTATTACCGTGGATCATGTGTAAAGGATCGGATAAACACAGAATGGAAGAAATTGAGGTAGTCAACATATAATTGAATCTAGAAGGTTTTCAACACTATTATGGATCCTTCAATCTTTTCCTGGCTAGATACTGTCCAAGACTCACGCGGCCGGAACCAAGAAGCCGAACACTATGCATAGGACCTCGTCGATTTTTTTAAAATTTTTTTCTAATCCAGGGAGTGATGCATGGACAGGAAGAATTTTTTTAAATATTCATATGAATGACGTGGAACCAGAAGGTGGGAATGACCTTCTGCGATCATCTTCTGGTCACACTCGAGCATCATGTGTTGTCTGGTGGGGTCCACTTCAACTGCACGGTTCGCAACTCTTACAGGATGGTGTTGCCATGAATGACCTTCGTCTTCCAAGCTCTGATCTTCACTACGAAACTGCCACGAAAAAATAAGGTGCGGTTCCTAAGTTCTCCAAAGGAAGCTGTTCAACTACAGCAGAGAACTGTAACGTTCTGCTCTACAAGTTTTGCAGAAGATTTCTTAGTGGCTCTTCAGTCTACAGCCCTTGACTTTTCCTGGTTCGATTAAAATGTCTGCGCTACTGTTTTTAGGACCCTTCGGGTTGGCTTCTGACTCAGTGATAAGGAACGAAGAATGCATAGTATGTCGTCGGAGGCCATCCAGACCAACAAGGTGTTCCATCGCTCATATGACTCGTTTCAGTCGTGCCGAGTTCTAGTGTAAGAAGAACAGATTTACCGGGAAAATGTCACCTTTTGTAGAAATGTTGACTTATGAGTGTGGAACGCTATGAATAATCTTCCGAGCCCTTTGGATAGAGGCCTCATGTTCCATTAGAAATGGCTTGTTTACAACGCTTCGAAACTCAAAATATGTCCATGAATCTAGCTGTCCCACTAATCTTGAACTAGGGGGTGTCCCCCAAGAGGCCCGTCGCGCTGCGAAGGAAGAGACGCAGATCCGGCAAAGGACCAGTCGCACCGCGTGCTGTGCGATATGAGACGTAGCATCGTACACTCTATTTAGCCTGAAGTCTAACCACTGCAGTATGCGCTGCGACTCGCCCTTCGCCGTGTTTGCGTCTCTCGTTCGCCGCGCGACGGGCCTCTTGGGGGATACCCCAAACTAGGAGCAGTAATCAGCGTAGAATATACCAGATGACATGCCATGTTGCAGACGATACCAAACTATTCATCGTTCTTCCTTCTCGTTCACTTCGTTTCATGGCCCCTCCCCCCTTTTCTCCAAATGCTTCTCTGGGCTTGTGCGACTACGCACTTCCGAAACACTGCAGTACCACTACAACGGAAAGTGATTTATTCGGAATGACATCGATTGGAAAGTCCAGTTCAGTCTCAGACAGAATCATTTTGCAAACACTGGTTGAGTGAGACAAGAGATCACAATTGAAATAATATTACCTTACACTGAATTGTTCTTCGATAAAAAAGAAACACCTAATTTCCATCGCAATTTGATCACAATTAAAGTAGTTCGAGGGGATAAGGCTTACTCGTAACAATTCACGTCACAACTCATTAATATGATCATATGTGCGTGTTCTCTGGAGACACTAAACTGTGGACTCGCTATTCGTAGACAGGAGAGTGCCGGGCCGGAATTGTAGCCACTAGAAACGCTGCCACTGGTAGGACTGCCTGCGCCACCAACCGTGGCAACACATCTGGCCATAGAAATTCTCTCATCCAGAGCGTTTGTAAGAAAACCATCCACTGATTGCGGATCTTTTATGGTGTTGGTCAGATCTTCTCTGAAATAATAAGACAACTAACTCCTACAAGGGATCGAAACAAGATGAAACTCATGGAAAACACATCCTAAACACTCTACTTTGCCTTCTGTCTCTATTTAAGAAAACCACAAGAGCGTCGAGTGCAGACCACGCACCACCTTACGACGGTCAAGAAAAAGAAGGAAGAAAAAGCCTTTTTTTTGGCCGCCGTCACTTGTGGTGCGAGGTCTGCACTCAACGCTCTTCTCATTTCTCGAAATAGAGGGTATGTGCAATCCGACAGTACCTGATGAATACGTCACTCCACCTGGTCAAGATTCTCATGTTCTCATTGCGTTCCCTGGTGAGCAAAGTGTTGCTCAGACTAGGTGAAAGATGAATGCCGGCAATCTAAAGGTTAATGAATCAAAACCGGAAAAAACACAAATAAACTCGATCCACTGTTGGCCGATCACAAGCAATTACCGCGTTGCTGTTGCAAGCCGTTGTTGAGTCCAATAGACCGATTGATGTACTCAAATGTCGCTCGAAGACAACGTGACTGACGAATTCCTTCTCATGCTGGCGACGACGAATTTTACCCACAAATGTGTTAAGGCGAAGACGATTTTTCGACACAGTATTCTCGCCATAATCCGTAGTTGGTGGCCTGGAAAATAATATCAGAAGATAGTAGCCCAATCGGTTAATTCATTTAACATCTGAGAGCTAAAGTGTTGTGTTACAATACAAGAGAACGGTGGCGTCAATTGAACAGCCCAAACTATTGCAATTTATTATATTCGCATGAATTCAGGAATTTTGAAGCTGCCTACTTATGGGACGACATACGAAATAGTATGCAGGAGAAATTTGAGAAAACTGAGAGAAATTTTACAAACTCAGTTAAAGTTAATGAAATTGCTCACTTCAGATTGAGTATTTTCAAGCTCACAGTGGGAGCAACAGTAGGCTTGAACCGTATAGCCTCTCGTACAGTTCCCCATGAGAAACGTCTAGCATCATTATATCGTTGAAGATTCGTGAACGACAGAACATTAGATAGCGATGGAGAGACCGAGACGTCACGCTGAATGAACCCCGCGAAAGTCTATACACTCTGAGCTTCTTAAAGTTTATTTGCGTTTATTATACAAAAAAGGGGCGTGCACAGAGCTGGTATATACTGGACATTGAGTTTTGGAAACCCGCCAGCTCTTCTAACTATGTGTATTCAAAGGCAAAACTCGGGATAAAATGGGTCTGTAAGAGCGTTCAGTGATGAAGCTCCAGGGTCGACGGACTACTTTAACTTGGCCCTTTAAACCGCATCTGCGTTCTCTAGTAGGTCCCTCTCCTCTCCAAGGCTTAGTCCTAGGGCACCCACCCGTTCTCTAATCGTCTGTGCTCTAGCCATCGCAGCAGGACCCTGGAGGAAAAATCAAGTAGTCCGCAAACCGAGGCTCCAGGTGGGGAGCACCAAATGCATTTTAAGTGATTTTTGCTGTTACCGCTGTGGATGATAATATAGATGAAGATACCAGCCCGCAAATAATTATACTTCCACCTAAACTTAAAGGCATGACTTGTGAACTGTTTTGAAGCCAACAATCCTCCGCATTAATGTTAGCACATTTGTATCAATACCAGTTCAGTTTTGCCAAGCTCCTAGAGAACAGTAAGGTCAACAGCCATGTGAAATATCAAGTACAAACGTCCGTCGTCATTAACATTCACCTCTATGAGAAAGATGATGAGATGTTATAGCAGCAATCGGTTCCAATTAGGTATTATGTGCACAGAACTGGCACAGAACTCCCTAGCAAGACGAAGACAATGTCTTACACCAAGCACCACCCTCCTCTCCCTGACCCTTCCTCGGAAATCATTGCATGGGCCACTTTGAATTCAAATATCACCACCAGGAAAAAGGAAACAGAACGAGTGGTGAGCCCAGCAAATGGAATGATCAGCCAAAGCCGAATGCGCTACACTTTATCCTTGAACTACGACCAGGGTCAACCGTACGTTGGACAAAGTCCAACGAAGGGTGGGGGAAGTCGTATTTGGGATAGAAAAAGGGGGGGGGGTCGCATTTCGCGAGGTAGCGTTAGTGCTACAGTAAGAGAAATATTGATGCAGATTGTTGGCGCGCTAAAATTTTGCAGTTTCTGTGCGTGTATACCCCCCCCCTCCCACTAAAAAATGTTGCAGTGGAAGTATGGGTGAAATAGAGGGGATGGCAATTTTGGAGGAAAAAAGTGGGCCAAGTTTGGCCTGTGTCGACTGGACTCAGAATCGAACACTATAAAATGAGCCCCATGATGGCGATGGCAGGCGAGGGTGGTTAAGGGTTGACCCTGTGGGGAGGGGGGGGGTATCGAGGCCCTCCAGAAGGGGGAGGGGGGTCGTAAAATTGTCGAAATCGGTCTAACGTGACGGTTGACCCTGACTACGACGGAGATTTGTATATATAAAACTCACAGGTAGGCAGACAAGACGAACAAGTACACCTGTGACAACAAACACGAGTACAGAATCTGACAGCGAATATGTGCAATGCACTTCGAAAATAGCGTTGCCATGCGGATTCAAGGATTTCGCCTCGCCTATGAGATTATTGTAGAGATCATGATCAGCGAATGGTAAAATCTAAACTAGAGCAAATTAACCCAAGCAATGTGCAAGAGCTTTTGGTTTATTGTAAACTTACATTACTAACTTCAGCGGCGTACTCTTCGGCATCATCAGGACCGGAAGATATCTTTTTCGTAGTAGAAACCTTTAAAGGAGAACTTAGTTACATACATGATATCATTGCTGTCCAAATTTTCTGTTACCACAAAACATCTCCGAATACAGAAGAAGAAAAAAGATTTAGAAGGAGTTACTTGAATAAATAGCTTCGGTCCAAGAATGTAATGCGACGGTGGGCAAGTCGTAGTTGACAGCAGAAAATCAGTAACAGAAGCATTCCTAAATAATAAACATAATAAAGGATATCTTATGGATAGAGGAATGATCAGACAAAGCCGAATGCGCTACACCTTATCCTTGAACTACGATGGAAAATTGTATATATAAAACTTACAAGTAGGCAGACAAGACGAACAAGTACACCTGTTACAACAAACGCGAGTACAGAATTCTCTCTATTATAAAGCAGAAGCTTGGTATGTTTGTCTCTCTGTCTTAAAACTAAAACAATTAGGCATGGTTCTAGTGGGTGGGAAGTTGCCCCCAGAGCGTATAGGGTGAAGGCAAGGCTTGGTTAGAAAGGGTATGGTAGTGGGCCGGGCCCGATCAGGTGGGCGGGACTTACGCCGAAATCTCGATAGAGAATATAGGTTTTGTGCAGAGGCTTCGAACCACTAAGCGAACCACAATATTGATTGGGTAGGGCCGTAGGAGTTGGATTTTGGATGGGTCACAGGGATGTCGATTGAAAATATCGGTCTTTGCGCAGAGTGCTCGAATAAGGTTGGAAATCACGCTTTTGATTGGGAGCTGTAGTAATAGTGATCCCAATAGGTCACATGCTATCGATCGATATCGACTGAAAATATCGATTTTTGTCTGGGAGGCTCAGATTTCTTACTAACCACACTATTGAGTGATGGGGTCGCAATAATCAAAGCTTCATTGCGTCACGCGGTATCGATCAATATCGATCATAAATATTGGCTTCTATCAAGTAGGCTACGGGAAACTTTTAGGAAGCGAATCATGAGGTTTTGTGGCAAACCCCAAGCACTTTGTTATATTTCACACTTCCCCCCTCCCCGTTAACCCTTGATCTTCCCTCCTTTTCCAACCACTTTTTTCTCAGTTTCTGCGACTGCTCTGAACCGACTTATGTTGATTCTACGAGTAAATGCAGAGGGATTCGATTTCGAGCTCAACTTGCACTCATGTGGCAGGGGCAATCTTTTTTGCTAGTGTGTAAGCCCCATAGTGAGGTAAATACGCAAGTTTCGTACATTAAAATGTACAAAAATTTGAGCGTTTTTGAACTACATCACAACCGTTGAAAATAATCAGCAAAAAACCAAAGAACCATGATCTTAAAAAACGGCTGATAATTATTGCTCAACCTAATAGCATCATTTACGTGTCTGTTTTTCGAAAGTATTTGTCTTTGCTGCTTTCACACGAGCTGGCTCGTGCAATGAATCAAATCAAATTCATAACTGAACACAGGTACAACTAAATTGAAAAATAAGGACTTCCCATCTCTTGAAGGGCTCACAGAGAAAAGGAATACATTCGAATCAAATGTGTAACAATAATTAAGAATGATGAAAAACTACGCATACTTGCAAGAGTTGCAAATCTGAGTTGCTACATTAAATGGAGCCCGTCCTGCTGGAAGAGGAGTGTGAAATTGTGAGCACATGACCGGCTGACGAGCGAGCGACTCGGCACGCTTTTCTCGTGTTTCCTAAAACTACCAAAATTCAGCAGTAGGCTATCTTGCACATTTTTAGTAACAGTGGCTCTGCTTCAAAATGCTACCAACTAAAATGCCAAACTATATAGGAGAAAGATCCTGAGCTTCATTGTTTGATGAGACTCCAGGGTTATTTTTTTTAAATCGAACTCCTCCAAAATAACTTGATATGGCGACATTCAAGGAATAAGCCCTTCTTCGCCTCTATCAAGGCATTCATAGGCGAGGAAAATCATATATCACAAGATATACGAATGCATAAAATAACTGACCAAATATTGGGTTGGTGCATAATATCGTAGCGCTTGCATTTTTCATTTTTGCACGCAAACGTTTTGTGAAGAAATTAAAAACAAAACTAATCAGGGATGTCCACTTAACCATTTTTACGACTTTTATCCTATTTTGCAGAAAGTCACAGGATTTGGAGTTGAGAAAAAAGATGTTGGGCTCGCTCTCGAAGCAGGGTCAACCGTCACGTTCGAACATTTGGCAGAGGTTTTTTGCGACCCCTTTTCTCAAGGGGGCACCCCTATGCAAGGGGGGTCGAGTTGTGGACCCATTTAGGTAAGGAGTGCTCGAACGTGCTGAATAAATGTTAAGTGAATATTTATTTCACATCATTTTTATTCAAGGACAAGTAACTAAACCTTTTAAAGACAATGCACTTCGCCTGACTATGAAACAAAACTTTTGAAATAGGTTGATTCTACACTGGAATTTGAAATTGAATCTTTTCAAAAAATCATTGATTTTTTCAAAAATTCATTGATTTTTGTAAAAAAACTCAATTCAATGCTCAGTCAAGAACTATATTCAAATGTTGTGTGTTGTAGTTTCGTAAGTTCTTTGTTTTCAGAATGGACTATGAACTTGCCATGAAAATATGACAGACATCCTTGAAGTACTTGAATCTTTCACTATGAAATTTGAATTGAATTGTAAAATCATGTGAATTTTCTTGAAAAAATCATATTTTTTTCATGTTGCCACAACTTCCAAACTTTCATCGTGTTCGAGCAATCACAGAGGCAGTGTCATAGGGAGTAAATCAAGGAGTTAGTCTCCAATCAATGAATCTCCTAAGATGGCCCAAAGGAGAAGATCCAAGGCACTTGGCTAATGAAAGCTATTGTTTTGGTTAGCCTCGCGATACAATTTTTGTCGCTCACAAGCACGAGTCCAAATCTGGGAGATGAAAGCGAAATGTGGTAATATCAAATGGAGGGTATTCCCAACAAGTAACTGAAGACTGACGTACGATTTCTGCTACAAACAGCTGAAAAAGAGGAGGATAAAGAAGAGTAGGACTGACTATGATTGGCGTCAGAAAACCGCGACAGAAAGCGTTTGAGTTTGCGGCGTCAGCCTTGCGAGGCGGCAGGTATCACCCGGACGCTGGCACTGGGACCGCGCGAAAGAAAAAGTTTAGGAGAGTGTACTTCTTAATGACGTATTTGTTTCACTTATTGAGGTAGGTTTAAACTGTGCATGAGGTGGCCGTTACAGGAAAATTGCAAAGAACTGACCTAACCTCTTCCAAAAGTAGTTTTTCTGTCAGAAGCAGAGCGGAACACCAAAATTCTGAGAGGCGCACCTCCAATTTTGAGAGCTGCATAAAATCTTCGTATGCGACATCTTGGAATTTGTGGAAAAGTTTAGGAAAGCTTCAAATATTGCTCTAACAGATGTTTAAAATGAGTTGATTGTTCCGCTATTTTCAAAATTTGCCCGGTTCGAACAGTTGTCGTGGCAAAAACGATGTGTAAGTGTTCAGCGACTATACTGCACTATTTGGGTTGCTGTGTTTCTCTCTTTCCATGCGAGGAAAGCAGCGGTTTATGGTCTTTTAAGTAAGCCCTAACCATTTCAAGTTCATTTTCGCAGAGAATCCCACGTTCGAACGATTTCTGGTGCGGTTTTGCCGAAACATTCTTTGAAACCGCGAGTTTTTGGGTTCGCACGAGCATAATCGCTTCATTGTGATTAAACTGTGGTTTCCCTCTGTCCATGGGAGTGGCAAGAGCAGTTTGGCTCTTTCTACAAGTCTAACACATTTCAAAGTTCATTTTCGAAGAATCCCCGTTCGGAACATTTTGGATCTGGTTTTTGAGCAGCACATGCGAGGTTTCGAAGCTTTCAGCAATATAATCTTCAAGGCCATGTTGGAAAGAGGCGAAGCATTTGTGAGCTACGAGATTTCTGCTTTCTGATGTGTCTTCTTTGTCTGGAAGAATCGGTCCTTAGAAATTCGGTCACCGACTTTATGTTCCAGCCCCGAGAAGTCAACTTTCATAGAGAATGCATTCAATGGTTATTTATTCCTCAAGGAAACACTGTATTTCCTGAAGACTGCTCTTATGTGCATAATTAATCGAATGTAATGCGGTATGCCACAAACCAAAACAACTCTTGCCTGCGGAATTACGCCACACCGCGCTGTTGGCTGGTCCTTCGAAATTGCGACCCCCTTACCGAACAAAATGCGACACTTCTGTCTGCGAACAGTTCAACGGACGGTTGACCCTGTCGGTGCGAAGTCCTCATTATTTCGCAATTTGTACGACATGAATACGGTCTTAATTTGAGTGAAATATGTAGGGTTGGTTAGAGAGAGGTTCGATAAGAACAATGGATTCTGAAGAACTTTTGTTTTGACGGTATTTTTTTCTTTATGTGAACTGAAAAATAACAGCTGTCGAAATGCCGATTTCTGCGTCTGGATTTTCCAACTTCTAAACATTATGTATGAGTACAAATATAATTTTGAGGGAAATGACGAAGTAATTTTTGTAGAGCGAAAAAAAAAGCACTTTCAAAAGGTATAGGCGACTTTTAGGGTCTCTCTTGTACTGATTGAATATACACGCCCAAAAAAAAAACGCTACGATATTATGCACCAACCCAATACAACGAGGAAAAGGTGAGTTTCAGGAAGTGGGTTGATTCCCCTACTTTCGTGAATCCCTGCAACGGTATATACAGGGGGGGGGGAGCCAGAAAAAAAAACATTTTGCCCAGGTCGCACTTCGGCCTTTTTTTCTTCGGAAGGATTGCTGTCGATGATGGAAGTTGTTCACGAAAATATTCCCTAAATGTCCCTCTATGAGTACAAGCAGGCCCTCCTTACTACCCTCACCGTCTTCAGAATATGCCGTCATCTGTCATCGTCGTCGAGCTCAGGGAGGTCTACAGTAACTGCTTCATCCTGAAGCTCTTACATAATTTCTTGGATCGATTCAACGTGGGATAGTTTCCTAGGGACATTGGCTCTGACTAAGCAAGCCCCCTCGTTACCCGCCCTTCGGAACCCGTCGTTTTGGTAAACGATCAGTTGAGAACTCCACTGAGCTCGACCGGAGCGCCATGCTTCCGTGGCAAATTTTCCTGATGCCGTCCACGTAGATGGCCACCGCGAAGAATTTCTTATAAAATGAAATGCGCTCTTAAATTCTAAGTTGGGAGCACACGCTTTGAGCTGAGCAAAGTGTGATTAGTCTTTAGACAGAATGGCTTTTTTTATTGCCTCCCCCCCCTCCTTGTATACAGTAGCGGTCGAAACTGTTCGCCGAAACGGTTACCCTTGCTTCTCT